TACTTGATTTTTTTATTGATCTTGAAAGTTGTGAATAACAATCTAGGGTTGAGCTCTTTATATAGCCTTTCACCATATTAATTCTACTTGAATTCAGAAAACAAAATCTAATGATAATGTAACTCAAAGTAGAAAACTATTAAAATAATAATCAAAGAAACGAACTTTAATTAAAAGTAAAATTCTTCTCTCTTAGACGGCTTGAAGACTCATTGCCGAACTTGAATATCCTTTTCCTTCTCGGCTTGATCTTTGTATTTTTAATTGATTTTCAACTTGAAGATGCTTGAAGAGACTTGTTGTTGAAGTAGGATATACACATAATCAAAGAGAAATTCTTGGAGGAAGAATTCGGCTAGGAGAGGTGCAAGGATTGACCCAGTCCTTCTTGACTTTCAACTCCCTTAATTAATTTTCTTGTTTGAGTAGTGTCCTACTTGAGGTCGGGATTCCAAGCCGTGAACACCTCCTTTTTTACTGCAAGTTTAGTCCAAAAAGGACTCAAGAAAATCAAGAACTCCAAGAGAAGGAGTCGGGTGAAGAGATAGTCCTCATGGGTGAGGAATCCTGCACGGACGGGATTCTTTTCTCCCTTATCTTCTTGGCCATTTCCTCTAGTTCAACTAGGACTCCAAACTAAAACTATTATTGGATTCTTCTTCCTTTAGCCGTTTGCCTATCCAAGTTGGACTGAAAATTCTTCAAGAAACCAAGAGAAGAAGTCGAATAGGAAGGACTCCTCACGGGATGAGGAATCCCGCGTGGGCGGAACTCTTCTCTCCCCCTTCCTATGGACGAAGTGCGGAAAGTTCCACAACCACACTAGGCCGCGGGCTTCCAAGACTTCTTGGGCCTTTCTTCGAATCTTTATAGGGCTCTAAGCTTGGATGTCCATTAATCCATTCTTGCACAAGAAATTGAAGGCTTGTTGGAGTTTCTTGGACTTTGATCTTGTAATCGAGTCGATGAGCATCATGATTCTATTTCCAATATCTCCAAGTCCATCTTTTTGAAAGTTCTTGGGCTGAAATTGCCCTTGGACTGCTTGTGGGCTTGAAAAAGAACCGATCTCCATCTCTTTCTTTAATCCAATTCTCGTGGGAATTCTCACAGGAAGAGGATTCTTCTTTCCTGTGGAAAAATCCCTCCATCCTACAGGTTGTCATGTGCCCACAGGATTCTTCCTGTTCTGGCGTGCGCTCGTGGGTTTCTTCCCTTGTTGGCGCACATCTACGGGATCCCTCATTGTCGTGGGAACTCGCAAGCTCATAGGTTGCATGCCCATGGGATCCATCTCTCGTGCCTTGAAATGTTTCTCAGCTACCTTGACTCACATTAATAATAGTTTTTATAATATATATTTATATATATATATATATTATATTCATAAAATTTATTTTCATACATATACTAATAGATAAATTTATATATTTACTATATTGCATGTAATATATATATTCTATATGTAAAAATAATGATTTAAATTAAATTTTTGTGATTATTTTTTTGTAAAGTAATATAATATATTGTATATTGATTGTTATACATACAAATAAACATTTATATATGTATTTATATGTATATATACTATATTTCTATATATATGTATTATTATATATTATATGGAATATAAGATATGGTGTACAAATAATAATAATATGTAGGATTGATAATTTAAATTATATATTTATATTTATTAATATTATTTTACAAATAATAATTTAAATTAAATTTTTTATTAATATTTTATTAATTTTTTAAATTTAGTTTAGTTTCTCTAACTATTTTAAGCAAATACATAGTTTCTGCTTTTGGTTAATTCTCTTCTTACACCTTTGTTGGTAATTTCAGCATCAACAGTTATTTTTATCAAAAACACAGCTTTAGCTTTTTTGAAGTAAAAATATTTTTTACAGTTATTTTTGTTAAACACCAAACAATTTTTTGCTATAAATACTCTTAGTTAACAGTTATTTTGACGACACTTTCAAAAGTTACAGTACAAAGTATAGTCGTGCCAAACGTATAGTTAGATGCCACTTTTAGCTCATTGACTATTAATTAGTTAATTACTTAATATGTGCGATGCTTTTGGCAATGCCTATGCTTTTTTATAAATTTCATATTGGGAAAGTTGCAATGTTTTTGACAATGCCTATGCTTTTCATGAATTTCATATTGAGAAAGTTGATTTTGAAATTATGTGCAAAAAAAATTGTTCAATTACAGGAGAGTTGCAAAAAGGCTTCTATTATTTGTCCAGAGAGTGAAATTAAAGCTTTAGGGGACTGGGATGGAAGCACGCCTGAGCAACTTAGTGCCCAACTAGACAGACTGAATCAGAGACTTCGGCATGAGAATCAACAGTATGGATGGTGTTTGTTCTTAACAGCATCTAGTTCTGGAACATTTGTTCTTTACTCCATGCCTTTGGATATGCAGATGCTCTGATCTATTGATGATCTGAGGATGCATTTTTGACAAAACAGAGCAGAAGATATTGAGGAAATGGGAAACATACAGAGCTTGTCGAGAAAAATTGATGTAGTTTCTATATTTGCTTTCATTTCATTTCTCTGTCCTCTATTTCTATTATGTCTGGTATCAGTGTCATTGGTCTGCTTAATCTGTACCTTTTGATCATAGTCATGGCTGGGCATGACCTATCGAAATCCTGGTGTCACCAGTTATAACTTCTTGTCACTCTACCAACCTTCCCGTCTGATAATCTTCTGTCCCTGATCAGTTTAGGAAATTTACTTCTCATTAATATTCCGTTATAAAGTTTTTGTTATGAGTGATCAATATTTTGATTGATGGAAATGACTTATGATGTTTTTCTGCAATGAATCATGGACTAAAAGGAAAAGCCATTTCTGTAAATCGATTCTTGTCTGAATAGCAGGAACTTGCTTGTGTTTCCTTAGAATTAATATAAATTCTAATTTACTTTCTTCTTTTTTTTTTTTTATTACTCAACTGAGATTCTGAACTTTTAGACTAAAGATTAACTATTTAGTTCAAAAAATCAAGTTCTCAGATTAATAAATTTCAATCATTCTTTTGTTTTTCCTTGTTTTACTTGATTTGTCATCACATGATTATTTGAGCTATTCTTTTCTCCCGTCTCCTACATTGTTTTGCTACATATAAGGTTCCTGATGGTGTTTTATATATTTACTATTTTGGAATAATGCAGGCTTGCCAAAAAGCCCTTGATTTGCGTAGGAGAAAGTACGAAAGAAATGCAACTCTCTTGAGGCGCCAATTAACTTGGGAGTATGAATTTCTCTTCTTCCTCATTCATCAAGGAGCATGCCATTTCAGCTTTTTTCTATTTTGATTGATGGATATATGCAAATTCTTTCTCTATTTGTCAATCTTGAAAATCAGATTTAATGGTCATTTGAGAAGGAAAGGGATTAGTGGACTGATTAAAGTTAGTTATGAAGAAGAGACCCTCTCTATTGAGGTAAGTAGTGTCCCTTCTACTGGAATTGACCTGGTGGTGGTGAATATCTTTTTGTCCTCTGCAGAACTTCTGGAAAAAAAAACTTTTTGCATATCTTTTGCTGACTATCCAGAAGACTTGAGTTACTTTTGCTTGATGTTGTCTGACATTTAATTTCCATACTGGGAACTTTTGCAGGTGAAGATGCCCCAGGATGCATCAAGTGGCACTGTTCGTGATACTAAAGGGCTTTCAGGTTCCTTTTTATAACACTTACTGTTTCTTTTTTTATGCCTCCCCATGCTCTTCTTTTTTTGTCATTTTTTTTTCTTTTATCTTTTTTGCTTTTTAAATATTGTAAGTTGCCTTTCAGGTCTTGAAACCAATTTTCCTAGAAACAGGAAATTGGCATGACCAATGGAGCTACATCTCTTTGTCTATGCCTCCGTGTTCTTTATAACATTTTGTCCTACCTGTTTATGGTTTTCTTGAACCAACACTTTATTCCTTTTTTCGGCTTAAATTAGGTGGAGAGCGCTCTTTCTCAACACTATGTTTTGCATTGGCACTTCATAAAATGACAGAAGCCCCATTTCGAGCTATGGACGAGTTTGATGTATTTATGGTATGTCTTTTGTGCAAGGTTTGTCATTTTCTCTATTATAGTTGGTCAGTTACTTGACATGGCGAAATATCCATTACCAGATGACTAAGTATTTAGGTCAATTTTGAAATATAAATGTTTTGGTTTTCATGTTTTGATTTCATTCTCCAGGATGCAGTTAGTAGAAAGATTAGCTTGGACACTTTAGTGGAATTTGCATTGGCTGAAGGATCACAATGGATTTTTATTACACCTCATGATATCAGGTATATGTTATTGTTATTTCTATTTCTTTCCTAATGGTTGAGAAACTACTGGTGTTACAACATGGCAAAGATAATGATCATGCAATGCTGATGCAGCATTTACAGAACCTGCTTTCAAGTTTGTTTTTTTTTTTTTTTTTTTTCTTTTCTTTTTTTTTTTTTTTTTTTAATAGAAGTTGGTTTGGTTTGTGAGTCTGGTATATCCTGATCGTCTAGGAGTTAGGAACATACATGGTGGAAAGGCTAACTTATGATATTAAGATCTCCTAGAATGTTAACATACGATCCAAAAGATAACCAGAATCTTTTGATTGCAATCTACTGTTAGTTGCAATTAGATATCCTTAGTCCTTCAAAAAATGTTGGAAATGTTTGTAAAATTAATGCATCTTCTGGAAAAAATTATGTCAGCTACTCTTGTTTGAGTAGTTTCTTAGGATTGTAACAAAAATTCCTCCAAAGTATTGCCAAAATTGCTTGACACCTTCTACTGTTAAATACTGTTAAATTTCCTAGTATATTTCATATTGGATGAATTAAGTCTAAGAAAATTTATAGCAATAAAATATAATTCTAACAGTAAATTGAATACACATGAGCACGCCCCCTGTAATGTTGGTTCAGCCTTGTGCCACTAGCCAGGTCATATTCTCCCAACCTAAGACATGTCCTGGTGTAGTTGTGTTCTGTTTGAATATTTTGGCAGAAAACAAATCCCTTTTTGCATCATGGGACAGTTCCTGTCTCATGATTTTAATTTATAAAATCTGTCCTACCCTACGTTACAGAGGAATGTCCAGAGAGTCCTTTAATGTAGATCAACATAGGACTGGATATTTTTGTATTGCCGTGTCCTATAACATCTTAATACAAGATACCAACCAAACCAGACACCAACCAGCGCCATCTAAGAACAACAGAACAACTTACCTATTCTTCTCAAGTTCGTTTATATATAAGGCAGTACAATGGCCCATTCCTTTGCCTCCATTATATATGAAATATGAATGAAATAATTATTATTATCTTTAAATTTAAATAGATAAATATAAATAGATATTTATGTTTCTATAATTAATTATATCATATGCATAATTTATTGAAGCTAAAAATATATATGACAGATTTTTTTAAGAAAAAATATTATAATAAAAAACGATATATAATATCAAGAACATAATTAAAATAAATAAAATTATTATTATTTTTTAGTAATAAATATTGGTATATTATTGGTAACTAAAATAAGTTTCTGGTAGGTTTTAATGAAATTGTCCTGAAGAGAGTATGATGGAGGATAAGTTGTGATAGATCCAGAATTATCCTACAAAGTAGAGAAATATAAAAAAATATGGGGAAGAAAATAGAAGAAAAAAGATAAGACAAAAAAATTAGGGTAAAATTGAAGAATTATAGGGATAA